AAAATAAAATTGTTTATTTATCAAATCAATAATGGTTTTGCTTCTTCCAACATAATAAATTTCGTTTTTATGGAAAAGATGACATATACCTAGTTACTTTTCAGTTTACAACAGAGACGATTTTCAAGCTTTACATATTGTTAACTCTGTAACCTCTTTATTTTCCAGATTTCTTTTGAAGAATGACGGTCTCTTCCTCGGAGTTTCTCAGCCATGAACTGTGTAGGAGCTGTACGAGTGGCACAGTCACTTGGCCCTGGTCACACAATAGTCACCATTCTTGTGATAGTGGGATGAGGCATCTGAGTAAGTTTTATATGCTCAGTATCTTTCTCAGCTAGGTTTGACACCCACTGCAGCTGGACTAGAGTTCCTTGTATCAAATGAGCTTCTACAGAGTTAGAATAGCATAATTAGCTTTATTCTTTAGCAAACTTTTACTGCCTCCACGTACTTGACCAGAAAATTTGTTGATAATGCATTGATCTGATGGCATCATAAGGTCAAGTAAAATCCATTCTTTGAAAATAGGTATACATGATGATTTTTTGGGGATGAGATTATTTTGACGATCTACTTTGAATATGTAAACTTCATATTATTTTGGTTTGATAGAGAATCAAGAGTGTTAAATTTTTTCTGTTTCTCTTGCTCAAGGAGTACCCAAACTGCCTCGCCGTATTATAGACATCTTTCATTGTCCATTCACTATAAGGTAAAGAAATCGGCTTGTACCGTATGCAACATTGGTAACACAGAAGTACAGCTTGATGCCTCAACATACAACCAGAAACCAAACAATAGCTTGACTTAAAAATTTAATGTCTGTCATTGCAAAAGGTTTAGCTAAACCTTATTGTTGAAATACTAACCTCAATAAAGATATCTCAAAGAGATTATTTTATATGATGGTGATGCCACCAAGTCAAGTTTGTCAACAGATAGATATGTGATGCTAACAAAAACTCCACTCACTGGGGGTACCACTTATCAAACTGAGACCATGGCAATGAGGTCTAGCCAATCCTTGAAGTACCCTTTGACATGTTGCAGCCTACTTTTCCGCCACCCACAGCTCTCTCAAATTTTCCACCTTATTCTCCCGCCCTGTCCCAGCGGTCCTCCTATCCGCTCCTTCAGTTTCTGCTTAAATCGCTGTTACGGCTAGATGCGTTCAGCTCCTGCTGCTTCGATTGTGAAGGAGGTGCACCGTGTGGTCCTAAGTAGTATTCTCTCCTTTTTGCCTGCACATGTAGATAAACAAAAAGTAAGATTTGATCAAGTGCTATTACATTGTCTGATAAAAACTTCAACATATAAACTATAGTGCCTTAAAATATCCTTTAAAGAAATAAAACTCTCGAATAACCTTTGGAGAAGGAGGTTTAGATGTTTCCTCTTCTAACACACCAGGTTTACTTTCACCGGGTCTCCTATTCCCAAGCTGGAATCACGAATCCATCTGTCTAACACATCAAGCATCACAGGTGAACATTAAAGTCAGTGCATGGAAAACAACATTAATGTTATGCAAAAGTACATGACTTCTATAATTGTTGAAACATAACCCAAAAGTGTGAGAATATCTAGCTGTTTTCCCATAAAAAATAGCATCCTAAATATCATCTGCAACGCAGACACATCTGATCCACATAGAACTGAAATTTCAATGACATGGAACTACACATATTCACGCAGCCTCCCGTATTTTGATTTCTTCCAAGGCTTAAAACTATAGCATTTGGAACACAAATATCCATATAAAATCTACATAAAGAATGAAAAATTCACACATTTTTAATAAGAATCAACATACCCAATCACCCACCAATCAAACTCAAACCAAAATTGATCAATAATAAATTTCACATGACATATGCACATATTTACAATCCCCAAACAAATATCACTTATATTGAAAAAAAAAAAGCCAAAAATAAATTAAAAACCCATATCAAACAGAACCCAATTGAGCACAATGAATATAAATATCATACAAAGATCCCAAATTTCTACAGAACCAAACAGAAAATAGAAAAGGGCAGAACTGTAATTGCATACCCCATTCATCATCTTCTTCAACTGGAGGAGTGGTGCGCACTGGAGAGGGTTCCATGAGACGCTGATGATCATGGATTTCAACCGCCAGAGGGCGCTAAAGCCCAGAGAGAAAGCGATCAGATTAAACCAATCACCAACACCAAACCCCAAAGCCAGCTGTTTGTGACCGTCTGATTTATAAGAGCTCAAATAGTGAATCCAAATGAAATTACAAATAGGGAATAAATTCCTTCTGCCAAAGAAAAGAACCCTAGCCCTAGAAAGGTATAAAGACGGCGTGTTGAATTTCTTTCTGTGTAGTCTCTTGTTTCCCGGATTGCCCTCTTGCTTTGGGATAGGTTTGGTTTTTGGATTGTTGATGGTGTGGAGGGTAGTTTTGTCACTTTAGGTCTTGGGATTTGAGGTGATTAGTTGGTGGTAGAATTTATTATGGGCGGTGGTGATATCAAGTCGGAAGTATAAAGATCTAAAGAGAACAAGCATATGTCTTAATTATAAAAATTAAAAAGAGAAAGTATTCGATAAAATAAGCTTATGTAATTTATGAGAGTTAACGACACGTTTCCATCCAAAAAATAGTCCATTGATAAATTCATACCCGTCTACTTTTTAAATACCCTTTCAGTATCTAAATATTATGTTTTGGGTGGGAAATACAATGATTTAAGAAAAAACCACTTTTTTTTCTTCTCTTCTTAGCCTTTTTCATTGCCGGTAATTGCCATGGTTGAATACTAGGGGCAATAAATCGACTAGGTGGTGAGCAAGGTTGGTGTGATCTGGGAGAGAACAGTGACCCCAATCAAAACCTACTAATCGAGTACAAAAAACCCAACGATTTGCAGAGGAAGCCGCCACAAATCGAGACTGTCCCACGACGGAAAAAGTTGGACACAAGTGGCAAATGGCGAGCATGGAGGGTTAGGAGAGGGGTGGGTTCTGAAGAGCTGAGGGTGGGGAGTTGAATGGTGGTGGAATGGGGCATTTTGGGTGACTGAATTGGACAAAAAAAGGCCGAAAAGATGGGAAATTGAGAAAAAACTCAAGCGACGATTTTTGGCAATTGGCAGGTGCATCGGGCTCAGGGTGAACGGATTAAGGGTGAGAGAGGCTCGGGGAAGAGGATGGAGGAGGCGGTGAGTTTCAGGGTGGATTTTTGTTATCGGAAACGATCGAAAATCCTGCTTGAAGAGTCGTCGTGTGAATGGAGGTGGTGGTGGAAAATGGTGAGTGATGATAACAAATGGAGGCTTGGGCTTTTTAGAGGAGCTGATGGAGATTCTATGGGTGGTCTCGGAAAGGATTTTGGACGCTGGGATTTGCCCAAAAAGGGCAAAAATCGTCGACTGCAACGCTTCTAACGTGTGCCATCCCTTTTATTTTCTCTTCTCCGGTGGCCAAATGTTCGTTGACTATTCTACCCTAGCTAGTAACGAACTTTTGACAATTTTGCCCTTCCCCACAACAAAAATTACTAACAAAATCGTGCTTTGGGTACTAAAAGGGTATTTAAAAAGTGGACGGGTATGAATATGTCAATGGGCCATTTTTTAGGTGGGAACATGTTGTTAACTCTAATGTATAACTATGTGTGCAAGTCGCTGACATGTTTAATGTGACACATTGTGATTAGATTGAGTGCGATGACGATTTCAAGTCGGAAGTGTAAATGATACGAGAAATCGAGCTTACCATGTCATCTTCATGCTTATACATAAAGAGAAGCTGTTCAATGAAATAAGTGTATGTAATATACATGTATGTCATGACATATTTTGTGTAATTGTGATTAACCAAAACAGAGTATCCATTCCTTTAAAAAGGTTTTCATCATTAAAAATATGTTATATATATACTATAACAGTCTACCAAATTGATATATTAACGTACATACTAAAATATTCAAATGCCCAAATGTTGAAAATATAAGCACAGTAAACATCATTGCATCCATTGCACGAGAGAGATATGAAATGGGGCAAAGTCAATCGTTGCATTATAATATTTTGGTTTCTTGCACTTTATTTGCCTTCCACTAAGCCACCAACTCTATCTAATTAGGAGACAATAAAGCAAATGCTCCTCAACTTTTGGCAAACTTAAAAGACAAATTCATTAAGCTCCTCATTGCTATAGCCTCAACTTATTACCTATGTAACATTACTACGTGACCTGATTATATTCAAGATTCTAATCCGAAGATAATTACATGTTTTTTTTTTTTTTTATAACTGGGATGTCTAGATCAGTTTGCGCACACCTAAACTGATCTCTAAGGTCTATTGAACATCCTATAAGTCAAAAGAACCATGAAAGTTATAATATTATTGTGATAGGTAGCCCTAAAATTTGAATTCAAAAACTTAAAAAAGGGAGTAAACTTTTTTGACCCACAGATCAATCCATTGAGGTTTGTTTCAATGTACTATGATAACTCTTTACCATGTTTGAGAAACATTGAACTTGATAATAAATATGCACAATATTAAGAATCAATAGTCATTCTTTCGTATAGATGTTAGTCTAAAAGACAAAAAACATTTTCTGATAGGTGAACAGGTGGTTGCATTAATTAGACGGTGGCAATAGTTTCTCTTTGTCATGAAGCAAGTGACTCAAAATGCTATGAACTTGGTTGATTTGATTCACATTCCTTGTGCGTTTCCAGAGTCTTTTTGCTTGCGAAAACCAGACAAGTAATGGGTTCCTGACATTACCATCCAAAAGGGTCTCTTAAATGCAATGGGCATACATTATTGTCTGAGCTGCTTCAGAGCGAAACAAATGGACCTATATTATGCCAATTTTATCATCATGTTTTGGTTAAGTTTTTATTGCAGACAAAGGCAAATGGGTGGGTCATTATTACTGAGAGACTTTTGTTTTTTTGGCAGATAATATTGGTCCTGTTTTGACTAGTATTCTAACTTAATTTTCTGTGCACCATAAAAGGCCATTTTCAAGTGAGTGAGATTTTAGTCTAATGTGTTTGGTTTATTTTATGTCTATAGCACATGGATTGGTAATTCCAAAGCCTTGAGTTTGCTTGTTTCAAGAGAATCATTTGCTCATAAGACCAAAATTTTACTGGGTTTCTTAGAGATCCAGTCTTACAGAAGTGAAAGGGCTTTGAAATGCTCAACTCCTGCTGGTTTTCATCTTCTGTAGATTGTTTTTGTTTTGTTCTTCTTTTTCTTCTTCATTAGTCATCATCACAGATCTTTTTAAGCTATTTCAGGATCTCTAAACATGGGAAAACCAGCTAAAGTTCAGAGATTTTCTTCACTGTTTTTGTCAAAACCTTCATTTCTTTGTGTTGTGGTTGTGTTTCTTCTTCCTTCTCTGGTGTTCACTTATTTGCAAGGCTCTAGCTTTTCCCATTTTGTAGTTACAATCCCAGTCCTGATCCTCTCAACTTCTTTCCTTGTCACATTCACCAAGAAGAAAAAGGAGATAACCCTTTCGGATAATCAAGTTGAAGATGAAAATCCCAGATGGGATTTGGCCAGAGACCTTGTTGAGAATGAGGCTGAGCAGAAACAGCAACAAGAGATACAAAATGTTGCAGCAGAAAAAGCTGCCAAAGAAAGTGATCTTCTTGGCCTTATTCATGAGCCTGCAGATTTTGTATCAGAAAGTGAAAGTACTGATGAAGATAATGACTCAACATCGAGTGAAAATCTTGAGCTTAATTGGGTTCATAATGGAGATCAAAATGAAGTGATGCTGATGGATTCAAGTGATTCAGTCTCAGAAGATGATGAAAACGAAGATGGCCTCATTGAAATTGCCATTCCAAACTCAAAATCTTCTGATTTCTTGCCTGAATCCATCTTCAATCAACAAGGCCGAATGGAACTCTTGGCAGACATCAATGAGGTCAATGAAGAAGAAAACTTGATAGAAATTGACATTTCTGAGGGATCCATCAAGTGTTCAAGGTTTGAAATTGAAGCATAAAATTTGATCTCCTCAGCTAGCTAGGTTTAGCTTTAGCTTCTGTTTTTTTCCTAAAAGCTTGATGCCTTTTTCTTTTTGTGCAACTTTTAATACTCTTTTTCTTTTCAACAAACACTATAAAAAGTATCAAAGTTTGACTTCATGTTGTGTTGTGGCATGGTAATATTTTTTTTTTTGCTCAAGAATCATGATGCCTTTGCCAAAGGATAAAAATCCCACTTAGATTTGTTTGTATTATAGCATTTTGTGTCTTTTGCTTTGGATTCTTTTGTTTCTTGTTTCTTAAGTTACCCTAGTTGTGGTCAGAAAGAAAACAAACTGCAAGCTTCTGGGCTACTGTTGCCCTTGTGACTAGTTCCATTATTGAATGTGAATAGCACCACAAAATAGTCCCTTTTATTGCATAAGATTAGGGGTGTTCGGTTTCGGGTATCCTATATTTTTTGAAAGAACCAGAACCGATGGTTTCTTGAAATTTGGAACCAGAACTGGAATCGATAGTTCTGGTTCCTAGGTACCCAGAACAAGAACCTATAACAACAGTTTCGGTTTCGGTTCTGGGTACCCTATAAAACTCCATGACCCCCCAAAAGTTTTTTAAAATGGCAAAAAAACCCTTAAAAACTTATAAATACCCAAAATAAAATTACAAATCATAAATTCAAAATTACAAACTCCATTACTTTGTAAAGGTAGATTTTCAAAAATCAAACAAGCTTACTTTAAATGTTATGAAATATAAATATAAATGTATTCACATTACTTTTTCTACAAAAGTTTTTATTAACCCTCCAAATCTTTAATTTTATTTTATATTAGTCTCGGTTCCTGGTTCTTGGTTCCGGTTTCGGTTCCTATAGGAATTGGAACCGGAACTGAAACTGGAATCGCACAGTAACGGTTCCAAAAATTTGGAACCGAAACCTACCCGTTGACGGTCAGTTCTGGATAAGAACCGAAACTAAACCCCGGGTACCCGCCGGTTCCGATTCTAACTGGTTCTTTTGAACACCTCTACATAAGATGGTTCTCCCTAATATAGCATAACATAAATTTGACATAGTTTAAGTGAATTAGAGTTGATTTTAATCGCTTTACTTAGACAAATATAACAACAGGTTCAACGCAATTTAAGTGGATTAGGGTTGAGCTTAATCGTTTTTCCTATACATAATCTCAACCCGTATAGCATAATTATTGAATGTGAACAGCACCATAAAATATCCCCTTCTTATGCATAAGATAACTCGCCCTAATATAGCATAACACAAATTCCACATAGTTTAAGTGAATTAGAGTTGAACTTAATCGCTTTACTTAGACAAATATAACACAAGTTCGACATAATTTAAGTGGATTAGGGTTGAGCTTAATTGTTTTCCTATACATAAACTCAACCGGTATAGCATAATAATTGAATGTGAATAGCACCGTAAAATAGCCCTTTTCGTTGCATAAGATGAATCTCCCTAATATAGCATAACACTAATTCGACCTAGTTTAAGTGGATTAGAGTTTAGCTTAATCACTTTACTATAGACAAATATAGTACGAGTTCGACACAATTTAAGTGGATTAGGGTTGAGTTTAATCGTTTTTCCTATACATAATCTCAACCCATATAGCATAACATGAAATTGACACAATTTAAGTGAATTAGAGTTGCATTTAATCGTTTTCCTATGGACCAACTCAACTTGTATAACATAACACGAATTCGACACAAAAAGTGAATTAGAGTTGAGTTTAATTATTTTCCTATAAACCAACTCAACTTATATAGCATAACAAGAATTCAACATAATTTAAGTGAATTAGAGTTGACCTTAATTGTTTTCCTCTAGACGAATTCCACCTGTTTATAAACAATGTCATATATTGTGACTTTTGACATGAATAATTAAATGAATCGTTTTGAATTAATTAAAATTGTATTACTTCCTAATTCGATAGAACACGAATCAGACAACCAACTCCTTTTGTCATCTCTATACATTTTGGTAACGATTAGTTGTCTAATTCTTATCTATATCACCAATATGTAACATTATTCAAGATTTCAATCCAAGAATGGTTACCCATTTGGGAATATAATAACCACATTGATTAGCTACAAATCATTGTTAAATTTCTACTTTAATACTATGCACTACGCAAATTGTCCATATATTCCCCACCCATGGAGAGCCCTACAATAAAGACAAATCAAGAGGGCTATGCATGTTCTCTAGAAATTGCGCATAAATACCTCAGTTAATCAAAAAAAAAAAAAATCTATTTATGGATTAGGAATTGAATTATATTGGCTAAAAAATAATAATAAAAATATGAATTATTATAAATGTCCATATATAGATTAGGAAGTATTAATGACCATTTTTTTTTTTTTTCTGTCAATTTAAAACTATAACAAATTGATCACCAAATTATGAGAAATAAACTTTTAAATATTAAAACAAAAAAAAAAAACTTTAATTCCTAATGCTATTGTCTCACCGATTAGCCAATGGGAAGCCAACCCCTCATCGTGCCTATTCTAAAACGACATCGCAAATTCGCAATCAAGTCCTAATTTAATATAAACATAAGATAATAAAAAATATATTTTCTAATTAAATTATAAATTCACTACAGATAACATTCTTCCCGCGGGCCCCGCCATTCCCATAGATGCCTAAATAAAACTGAAGCGAATGTCGATCCACAGCCGTCGATTTACCGGATGCCCTCTAAATCGAATGTCAGCCGTCCATCAGTTTTCCACCTCGAACTTCTCCCTCCATCCGACGTGGCAATTAACTGCATTTCAAATCCGGATTTCACGTCCGAATTATATAAATAATTTCACGAAACGACCCAATCTGATTTTAAAATAATTATTAAACAGAAAAATGTCAAACACTGGAAGGGAAGTAGAGAGCTCAGAGTCCTGTTCGCTTTCGAGATTTGGATTTTAATTTTTAAATCTCTGTAAGTATTTTTAGTTTTGGCGTTTATAATTATTTTTCAGGTTTGATTAGTTTATAATTTGCTTAATTTTTTCGATTTTTTTTAGAGTATTTTTTGTTTGTTTTAAATTTAAGTTTTGTGGTGTTTGTGTTAATTTTTAGGTTGAGATTAGGGTTTCGGTGTGTGCGTGTATTGTGGGTTTTTTTTGTTATTTTGGTGAAATTGGTGTTGAGGGAGTGCTTGGTTGCTGAGAAAATGTGGGAATTGAAGAGAAAATTTTGACGTTTGAATTTTGGGAAGCAAGGTTTTTTATGGTCTGGGGTGTGAAAAGGTTGATTTTTTTTTTTTTTTTATCCGTCGGAATTCAGCTTGATGCGCTTGTTTTTAGCTTCGGTTTAGTTGAGTTCGGAGAAACAAACCCTAAAATTTGGGTCTCAATGTTTTCTCGAAGTTTGTGCAACTTTCTTAGTAAACCAACAGATGGTTTTTTGCATGGGGTTTCAATTTATTGGTTTTGCCTGTTCGAGAGCTTGTTTTAGCTTGTCTAGATCTTGTTTGGACGTTTTAAGTTGTTTTTATCAGCATTTTATGCAGTGTATTAGTCATTTTTTTAAAAATTAATTTTCAGTTAGTCTGTTGTCTTGATATGAATTTGACTGAGAGATGATTACTTTTTTGTGCAGCTCTTTGTGGCATTGGGTTGAGGAAGCAATTTATCAAGTTTGGTTGGGTAGGTGTAAAAGGAAGTTCATTTTTCTTAGCTTTTACTCTGATTTGATTGAATATGGGTGAGGAAGAAACAAAGAGTGAAGTTCCGGAGGTGGCGGAAAATGGGACGACTAACCTGGTGGACAAACCAGCACAAGCTGTGGTTGAGAAAAAAGAGATTAAGGAAAATAAAGGAGTAAAAGAAATGGAAGAAGATACAAAAGATGATGGAGTGGAAGAAACTGAAGAGGAAAAGAAAGCTGATGCGGGGAAAGAAATAGAGGAAGATAAGAAAGGTGCTGAGAAAGTTGAGACTGATAAAATGGAGGAAGACCCAGAAGTCAAGGAAGATATGGAAAAACAAGAGGACAAAGGAACCGAGGAACCAAAAACCGAACCTATCAAAGAAGAAAATGGTTCAAAAGAAAATGAGGAGAATGATGAAAAGAATGGTAAGGAAGAGAAGGTAACTGAGAAGGATGATGAGGCAAAGGAGGAAGACCAGAAGGAAGAAGAAAGTAAACAGTTGAAAGGATCAACAAAGCGTGGGAAAGAGAAGAGTGGGTCGAAAGTTAAAGGAAAGAAGCCAAAGGTAGTAAATGAGAAGGGGCCTGAGCAAAGGACTCCTGTTACTGATCGCCCTGTGCGTGAGCGGAAGTCTGTTGAAAGGCTTGTGGCTTCCATTGAGAAAGATGCTGTAAAGGAATTCCAAATTGAAAAGGTTTTGTTTTTGATTTTTTTTTTTTTTAAATTGGTTAACGTAATTTTTATGCTCTATTAATATTTGATTGTAATGTGACTTTGATATGGCAGGGACGTGGTACGCCATTGAAAGATATTCCTAATGGTATGGCTTCTGTCTCTTCTTTTGGATTTGTACTGGCTATGTCTGTGTAAATTTCACATTAATGTTTCTGAAAAAGTTCTAAATCAAATATCGGTTTAAGTGCATGACCAAACTACCATATAATGCTGTAGAACTTTAAATAGGTTTTTCTTCTTTTAAAGTGAATGTTTGAAAATTCAATTTACTTTCATACTTCAAAAGCTTCGGCAGTGGAGATTGAACACAATGTGGAAATAATAATAGTTCAAATGACTTTTTTATTGTCCAAGGTAACATGGTGACAATTGTTTGTGCCCTTCCTCAAAGGTGTTAAGTTCATGTAGTGGATGACTATTGCTCTGCTATGGATATCTATACTGTACATATTTCGCCAGTTTCCTCTCTTATGGGATAGATACTTTTATAATTTGTCTGAACCTTTGTAAGGGTTCTGAGAATGATATTTAAGCTTTTTTTTCAATATTTGATATCATGTGATCAATCGCGGGACAGTTGTTGTTTTACAACTCTAATGAGGTGGTAATTGTGTTGTTTTTCTTGTTATATTTTCCATTTTGTCCTTCATAAATCTTGTTTAGCAGGTTTATCAAAGTACTTGTAAATCGATGGGAACTTCTCTCTTTGTATCTTTTCCATGTAGATATGTATGTCAATGATGAACAGTGGATGAACTATTTGACATCTGAATATGTTTTCTGCTTCAGTGGCGTTTAAGTTATCTCGAAGGAAGACTGATGACACCTTCAGACTGCTTCATACAATTCTCTTTGCAAGAAGGGGAAAGGTAATTTGAGAGTTGTTCTTTAACTTGCTCTGTTGTCAATTTCTTATTACAATCTTGCCAATTGTAGTTGGTGACAAGGATGTAGTAGACAGATGCAAGCGTTTACACACTGCATAAAAACCAGGAGCAAAAGATGGTTTTGGGGCTCTGTGTTTATTTGGTTATTGCAGATGATTTTATTGACTGTGATAGACCTGTTTTATGTGATTCCCATTCCTTGCATTTGCAGGCATTTCAGGTGAAAAGCAACATATCTCGTTTTTCTGGGTTTGTGTGGCATGAAAATGAGGTAAACTGCAACTTTTAAGAAAGAGACTTGGTTGTTTCTATGTACATTTTCTCTTTTTTAAACTATAGCATATCTAAGGGCATTAAGTTTATAAAATTATTATGTAGTATTTAACTGGTTGGTTTGGCATGCGGCACAATAGTATGTAATTTTGGATTTCATTTACTTTGATGGCTCTAATTATTTTTTTCTTGCAGGAAAAGCAAAAGAGCAAAGTGAAGGAAAAATTCGACAAGTGTAACAAAGAGAAGTTGCTTGAATTCTGTGATGTGCTAGACATTCCAATTTCCAAGAACACTAGGAGGAAGGTTTGTGAGTTTTCTAGTGCTGCATGCTAGTTCTCGACAAAATGTGTAGTCCTATTACTTAATTTCTATCCATATTTTATACTGTAAGTGGCAACTATTTCATTGATTTAAATGAGGAAAACAAACTATTGTTTTTTTGTAAATTAGTGTAACTGCTTTCTCTGTGCAGCACTTGCACAGAAACATGTTAACAGAATATCCAGCTGTCGTGTGGTCTCGTCCGTGATCCTGTTTTGCTAAATTTCCTTTTAGGAAGAGGATTTATCATTTTAGCTTGCCTGTTTGAAAAGTTAACATATCAGGTGATGCTGCCTTAATGAGCTTAAATTGTACATGCAGGAAGATATTGTCACGAGTCTGATAGACTTTTTGGTGGCTCCTCATGCCACAACCACTGAGCTGCTCGCTGAGAAAGAGGTCTGTTGCCTCAAAATACTGAAATTTAAGCTTACATATAGGGTTTGGTTTCTAGTCTGCCATGTTTTTCATTTGGATTATTCTGTTGGTATTTTAGTCAAGAGCGAGCAAGAAGCGCAAGAGGGTAGGAAAACAAAATTCATCAACATCAGGGAGCACACCTTCAAAACGTTCAGCAAAGGTACTATTTTATTACAATTGAAAGCAGAAAGGTGATTTTGATTTTTGCGTCATAGCTTCATGGGTAAAATTGCACGCTTGGAAGTTTTTTTGTCATACTATATTTAGCCAGATAGTGCATCTGTGGGTACTAGCTCTCTGGGTTGTATTAGAGGTCTGGGAAGGGTTAAAGAAAGGCAGATCGTGCTTACTATCTTCATATTTGTCTGCTAATGGTAACTGAATTATCTTGTCTTCAGATAATCTGCTGCTTATTGCAGGAATTAATGAAATGAGCTGAGAAACAAATAAATTAGGAAGATCAGAAGGTTTATACTATGCAAGAATTTTATTGTTGTCTCTGTCTTTAGTCTTTTTTACAATGTTTCAAAATCCAACTTGGGGTGAAACCCGGCAAAGCTGCTGGGTCTCGGGTTAACCGGTTTGACCGCCGGTCAAACCGGTTGACAAAAACTTCTAAAATTCAGCAAATACACCCCTAGAAATTACAGTTAAGTCCCTCTGGCGGTCAAACCGGTTGACAAAAACTTCTAAAATTCAGCAAATACACCCCTAAAAGTTACAGTTAAGTCCCTCTGGTCAAACTGGTTGACAAAAACTTCTAAAATTCAGTAAATACACCCTTTAAAATTATAGTGAAGTCCTTATAGGTTTGAAATTTAGCAAACACACCCCAAACACAAATCGGCCAGCGATTGGTTGGCGGCAGTGACACCCTAGATGCAACTCCAATCGTCCCTTGAGCTCATTCCCCTTAAAATATGCGCAAGAATTGGCCAGATCTCACCGACGCCGTCGTCGACAACCCTCCCCATCACCAAGAAATTACTTCCGTCTTCCTCCCAACCAAAACCCACCTGATCCCACTCCCGTTAGCCTTGTCAATCGCAGGCAAAAGCCGGTTGTTGCTGCCGCCAGTTTTGTTCGATTTTCGATTGATTTACTCATCGGAAATTAACTCTGTCACCACCATTGCATTCACTGACACTTTCTCTTTAAAAGCTCTAACAGCCCGACTGTCAATTGTTTGCCGTCCATCCTCCCAAATCCTAGGGTTTTGGGTGAATCGGAAAAATATAAACCCGGCCTGTTGAAGCTTCCGGGTCTCGGTTAAATTGGCCGGGCTAGGCCGGGTTTTAAAAGATTGCTTTTTTATTTATTGGGTTCTTTGTATAGAGTCAAAGAAAGACTGAAGATGCTTCAAAGAAGAAGATTACCTCAGACTCTGAGGAGGAGTCTTCTGAAGAAGAGGAGGAAAAGGAAGAAGAAACTGAAGAAGAGGAAAAAGAAGAAAATGGTGTTCCTGAGCCTTCTGATGATGAGATGCCTGAGCCTTCTGAAAGTGAGGACAAAAGTGAGTCTGAGAATGAATCTGAAGAATATGTGGGGAAACGCAAACGAAGCTCAAAGACCCCAACTAAAAAGAAGGAATCTGCTGGAAAAGCTAGGACCAAGAAAGTCTCAGTTACTAGCAAGTCCAGTCCACCACCAAAAAGAACACCAAAGAAAGCACCATCTAAAGGATCTAAGGCTGATGAAGACAGTGATACCAGCCCAAAGGTATTCTCAAGAAAGAAGAAAAATGAAAAGGTCACCAAGGAAAAGGCTTCAACTCCTACAAAAAATACTCCGAAGGAAAAATCTGGTATAACATATTTCTTCTCAACCTCATTTGTTTACTTATTATTACTTTATCTTTCTTCTAATATATGCTGAAAAGTTTCTCTTTGTTTTTAAAGGAAGAAAAGCTGCAAAAGGTAAGGAAAAAGCTAAGGAGGAGAAAGTGAGGCCAAGTGATGAGGATATGAGGGATGCAATATGTGAAATTCTTAAGGAAGTGGACTTCAATACAGTAAGATTTGATATCACTGCAGTTTGCTTTTAGTATAATCTATAGATATCCTTAATTATTAAGTTAGTTTTGAAAATTCTAGGGAAATAAACATGTAGCCAAAATTCCTGCTTTTTGATATGCAGTTTTTACGGTCTTGAATTGTCTTAGCTAAGTTGATTTTTTTTCTTTTTATTTTCAGGCTACCTTCACCGACATTCTGACACAACTTGGTATGCACTTGTCACTTCTATTGTTTGCATTGATTTTATGAGACTTTTGGATTTTCCTGTCGTCAGATGTTAATGATCTAAAACCTGTAAATTTGTTGCTCACAACTATGCAACAAGCTTTAATTGTTCAAGTAAAGTGAGCCCAAAAGAATTATATAATGGTTCAGTCCTTTAAGTCTCATAAATATACAACTGGCCCACTCTTTCAACAATCTGAAGACCCGTTAGAAAAGGTTTTGACTCGTGTTAGTGCTATGATGCTTGCAAGAAAATCGTAAATGATAAAAATCTTGAAACATAGAGAATCAGAATGTCGATAAACAAGTTTGTGGCTAATAGGAGATTTGATCATTTGTCAGCTGCACGATATGACATGGATCTCACTCCAAGGAAGTCATCTATAAAGCTGATGATCCAAGAAGAGCTCACCAAACTAGCCAGTGAGGGAGATGATGAAGACGGGGAAGGCGACGTCGAGAAAGATGAAACCCAGTCTGCCGGCCAAGAGGTTGAAGCCTGATGATCATCAAATGAGGACTCGACTGCATGAAAATATTGTGGCTATTTATGTCGTTTGGTCCCTCTTTTGAGTTTAGTTGTACACCATGTAATGTTTAGTCTGTTTACTTAAAAGCTGGCTGTAATTTATTATTAGCATTAATTTGCTGGGGATTAAGCTAGAGATTAGTGGAAACTAGAGGAGATGGTGGTAACTCAAAGCCTTTTGTGCTGCAGAATTGCCGCATGTTGTGTACACAATAACATAATCTGTAGGAAGTCTAACTGACCTTTTGTGGAGTAAAAAACTTAAGACGTTCACTCTGGTTTCATGATTTTCTTTCTAACCTGTACCATTGAGAAACTTCGCAGTTGGTAGTTTCATTATTGAGGCTCTGCTTTAATTGTTACTAAATTTTGATGCATGATGGTTCCTCAATAAGCTGATTTATGGGACCTATTGTTTGGATACAAACAATTGCTCATCTTGTCTTTGTCCACCCCTACATATTGAACCGACAGCACAGTAGCATACAGTGTCTGTGACTAGCTACATTAGGGTGTTGAATCTTGATCTGCGTTTGTTGAGCACTTGTTGAAGCTTGCATTTGGTTAAAAAATTGGTCTGGATACATGGTTGGTGTATGAATCTTCTGCGTAGATATTTATTTTACTTTATGTAATGGCAGGTTAAGAGGGCACTAGAGTTGGGAGAAAGAGTAATGTTACGTTATTGGACCACTAAGAGTAGCTTTATTAAAATCTTTTTCACTCACCATCCCATTAAGTAAACACGAGTCACTCAAAAGTCAATACTCGCTCACTGATTGAAGGAGCGTGCATTTTCATGGACATAAGGCATTGTATATAGCCAATAGCAGTGTGGAAAATCTTCCATTGTGACAGTTGACCTACTGCTGCGATGAGAGGAGGAAAAATTCCTGACATTTCACCTTTCATCTCAAATGTCAAATCCACGCTTCCTATATTCCAAAATGGCTGTGTTATACCGACATAACAGCTCCTATAAGTCAAAAGAACCATGAAAGGTAAATATTATTGTGATAGGAGCCCTAAAATTTGAATTCAAAACTTAAAAAAGGGAGTAAACTTTTTTGACCACAGATCAATCCATTGAGGTTTGTTTCAATGTACTATGATAACTCTTACATGTTTGAGAAACATTGAACTTGATAATAATATAGCACAATATTAAGAATCAATAGTCATTCTTTCGTATAGATGTTAGTCAAAAGACAAAAACATTTTCTGATAGATGAACAGGTGGGTGCATTAATTAGACGGTGGAATAGTTTTCTTTGTCATGAAGCAAGTGACTCAAAATGCTAGAACTTGGTTGATTGATTCACATTCCTTGTGCGTTTCCCGAGTCTTTTGCTTGCGAAAACCAGACAAGTAATGGGTTCCTGACATTACATCAAAGGGTCTCTTAAATGCAATGGGCATACATTAATGTCTGAGCTCCTTCAGAGCCAAACAAATGGACCTATATTATGCCAATTTTATCATCATGTTTTGGTTAAGTTTTTATTGCAGACAAAGGTAAATGGGTGGGTCATTATTACTGAGAGACTTTTGTTTTTTGGCAGATGATATTGGTCTTGTTTTGACTAGTATTCTAACTTAATTTTCTGTGCACCATAAAAGGCCATTTTCAAGTGAGTGAGATTTTAGTCTAATGTGTTTGGTTATTATGTCTATAGCACATGGATGGTAATTCCAAAGCCTGAGTTGCTTGTTTCAAGAGAATCATTTGCTCATAAGACCAAAATTGACTGGGTTTCTTAGAGATACAGTCTACAGAAGTGAAAGGGCTTTGAAATGCTCAACTCCTGCTGGTTTTCATCTTCTGTAGATTGTTTTTGTTTGTTCTTCTTTTTCTTCCATTAGTATCACTCACAGATCTTTTTAAGCTATTCAGGATCTCTAACATGGGAAAACAGCTAAAGTTCAGAGATTTTCTTCACTGTTTTTGTCAAAACCTTCATTTCTTTGTGTTGTGGTTGTGTTTCTTCTTCCGTTCTGGTGTCACTTATTTGCAAGGCTCTAGCTTTTCCCATTTTGTAGTTACAATCCCAGTCCGATCCTCTCAACTTCTTTCCTTGTCACATTCACCAAGAAGAAAAAGGAGATAACCCTTTGGATAATCAGTTCAAGATGAAAATCCCAGATGGGATTTGGCCAGAGACCTTGTTGAGAATGAGGTGAGCAGAAACAGCAAACAGAGATACAAAAGTTGCCGCAGAAAAAGTTGCCAGGAAAGTGATCCTTGGCCTTATTCTGAGCCTGCAGATTTGTATCAGAAAGTGAAAGTACTGATGAAGATAATGACTCAACATCGAGTGAATCTGATCTTAATGGGTCATAATGGAGATCAAAATGAAGGTGATGGAGGATTCAAGTGATTCAGTCTCAGAAGATGATGAAAACGAAGATGGCCTCATTGAAATTGCCTTCCAAACTCAAAATCTTCTGATTTCTTGCCTGAATCCATCTTCAATCAACAAGGCCGAATGGAACTCTTGGCAGACTCAATGAGGGTCAATGAAGAAGAAAACTTGATGAAAATTGACATTGAGGGATCTATCAAGTGTTCAAGGTTTGAAATTGAAGCATAAAATTTATCTCCTCAGCTAGCTAGGTTTAGCTTTAGCTTCTGTTTTTTTCTAAAAGTTGATGCCTTTTTCTTTTTGTGCAACTTAATACTCTTTTTCTTTTCAACAAACACTACAAAAAGTATCAAAGTTTGACTTCATATTGCGTTGTGGCATGGTAATAGTTTTTTTTGCTCAAGAATCAGATGCCTTTGCAAAGGATAAAAATCCCACTTAGATGTTTTTATTATAGCATTTGTGTGTGTTTGTTGGATTCTTTGTGTCTTGTTTCTTAAGTTACCCTAGTGTGGTCAGAAAGAAACAACCTGCAGGCTTCTGGGCTACTGTTGCTTGTGACTAGTTTCATTATTGAATGTGAATAGCACACGAAATAGTCCCTTTTATTGCATAAAATTAGGGGTGTTTGGTTCCAGATACCCTTTTTTGAAGGATCGGATCGATGGTTTCTTGAAATTTGGAATCAGAACCGACCAACAGTTTGGTTCCTAGAATACCAGACAAGAACCTGTAACAACGGTTTTAGTTTTAGTTGGGTACCCTGTAAACTACATGACCCCCCAAAAGTTTTAAAATGACAAAAAACCCTTAAAAACTTACAAATACCTCTCACCTGCACTTGTAACAAAACAGAATTACAAATTATAAATTTAAAATTACAAACCATTACTTTGTAAAGGTAGATTCCAAGTCAAAACAAAACTTACTTTAAATGTTATGAAATATAAATATAATATATCACATTATTTTTTCTACAAAAGTTTTTATTTAAAAAATCTTTAATTTTTTATATTAGTCTGATTCTGGTTCCTAATTCAGTTTGGTTCCTACAGGAATGAATTGGAACTGAAACGGAACCGCACAGTAACGGTTCCAAAAATTTAGAACCGAAACCTACCCGTTGACAGTCGGTTCTGGGTAGGAACGGAACAAACCCCGGGTACCCGCCGTTTCGGTTCTAACTGATTCTTTTGAACACCCCTCAATAAGATGGTTCCCTCATATAGCATAACATAAATTGACATAGTTTAAGGGAATTAGAGTTGAGTTTAATCGCTTTACTTAGACAAATATAACACGGTTTGACACAATTTAAGTGGATCAGGGTTGAGCTTAATCGTTTTTCCTATACATATCTCAACCTGTATAGCATAATTATGAATGTGAACAACACCATAAAATAGCCCCTTCTTATGCATAAGATAATCGCACTATATAGCATAACACAAATTCCACATAGTTTAAGTGAATTAGAGTTGAACTAATCACTTACATTAGACAAATATAACACAAGTCGACATAATTTAAGTGGATTAGGGTTGAGCTTAATTGTTTTCCTATACAAAACTAACCACATAGCATAATTGAATGTGAATAGCACAGTAAAATGTCCTTTCATTGACAGATGAATCTCCTAATATAGCATAACACTAATTCGACCTAGTTTAAGTGGATTAGGTTGAGTTAATCACTTTACTATAGACAAATATGGTACGAGTTCGACACAATTTAGTGGATAGGGTTGAGGTTTAATGTTTTTCCTATACATAATCTCAACCCATATAGCATAACATGAAATTGACACAATTTAATGGAAGTAGAGTTGCGTTAATCGCTTTCCTATGGACCAACTCAACTTGTATAACATAACACGAATTGACACAAAAGTGAATTAGAGTTGAGTTAATCATTTTCCTATAAACCAACTCAACTTATATAGCATAACAAGAATCACATAATTTAAGTGAATTAGAGTTGGCTTAATTGTTTTCCTTAGACGAATTCCACCTGTTTATAAACAATGTCATATATTGTGACTTTTGACATGAATAATTAAATGAATCGTTTTGAATTAATTAAAATTGTATTACTTCCTAATTCGATAGAAACACGAATCAGACAACCAATCCTTTTGTCATCTTATACATTTGGTAACGATAGGTCTAATTCTTATCTATATCACACAATAGTAACATTATCAAGATTTCAATCCAAGAATGGTTACCCATTTGGGAATATAATAACCACATTGATTAGCTACAAATCATTGTTAAATTTACTTTAATACATGCACTACGCAAATTGTCCATATATTCCCCACCATGGAGAGCCTACATAAAGACAAATCAAGAGGGCTATGCATGTCTCTAGAAATTGCGCGTAAATACCTCATAATCAAAAAAAAAAAAAATCTATTATGATTAGGAATGAATTAATTGGCTAAAAATAATAATAAAAATTGATTTATAAATGTCCATATATAGATAGGAAGTATTAATGACCATTTTTTTTTTTTTTCTGTCAATTTAAAACTATAACAAATGATCACCAATATGAGAAATAAACTTTTAATATTAAAAAAAAAAAAAAACTTTAATTCCTAAGCTATTGTCTCACCGATTAGCCATGGGAAGCCAACCCCTCATCGTGCCTATCAAAACGACATCGCAAATTCGCAATCAAGTCCTAATTTAATATAAACATAAGTAATAAAAAATATATTTTCTAATTAATTATAATTTCATACAGAACATTCTTCCCGCGGGCCCCCCCATTCCCAAGATGCCTAAATAAAACTGAAGCGAATGTCGATCCACAGCCGTCGATTTACCGGATGCCCTCAATCGAATGTCAGCCGTCCTCAGTTTTCCACCTCGAACTCTCCCTCCACCGACGTGGCAATTAACTGCATTTCAAATCCG